CACCCCTGGCGTCGTTGCCCACCTCTCAAACCCTCCTGGGTTTTAAACGCACCTTAGAACACACATGCATCAACACCATATATGAGTGGGCGGAGGGAGGTTTGGAGTCTTCACACACCCCCGTTCTCTGCGGCCTGTTGGAGCGGGGGTCTGGAATGTGGGGCCTCCCTGCTGCTGCGGAATCGGAGCGGTCTGCTTCTCCCCACCCCAGGGAAAAGGGTAGCACCACCTGGGTCTGGGTGCAGTTTACCCCTCCAGGGGCAAGGGTACCTAGACCCGGGGCTTGGAGTACGCTTGGGGAGTGTGATTGTGTGTACAGTGTCTCTCTATGTCTGTCTCCATGTTGGGTGAGTGTTGAGTAATTGCATATGAGAGATGAGGGTGGGAATGGATGTTTGTATCTGTGTGTGCCTGTTTGTCTGTGTCCATATGTCAGGTCAGGTATCAGATGCCACCTCTCTGGGGACATCCCAGGTCCTCCAAGGTATGGAGGCCTATCTCCCCCACCACTTCCCCTACCAGTGGCAGACGCCCTCAGACATCGGTGCGTTGGTGGTTCTTTGTGTCCGGGGATGGGCGTCTAGGTACACACCGGCTCACCCCTTGGTGGCTGCTTATCGGGGCCTGGAGCCTGGGGCTTGCTCGGGCCACTTCGGGGGTGGGGTGCCCTTGGCCTCTCGGCCTGGGGCTCGGTCACTCTGGCACAGCTGGCTGCTGACAGAGCTCACGGGCACGTCACTGCAAGCCCCTCTAGCTTCTGCTCCGAGGCTGCTGAGTGACCCCTCATCTGGGGCTGTCCTCAGCTCTTTCCGGGATAGTGGCGCGGCTGCCCCTCTGTTGGTCTTCCTTGGTCTCTTGTCTTCTGAGGGCCTCTGGATGTCTGGAGTTTTGATCTCCTCCATACTTGCTTCATGCCCTGGTGGACGGGGCTGTAGCTCCCCAAACCCTCTAGCAGATCATTACATGAAGGGACCTTTTAAAAACAAGCGCGTTCATGCTCACAGGTGTACACACGGGTGCTCACACACACAAACTACACCCTTTTTGGCTCCTACCTCAAAGCACACTGTGCGCTGTCGATCTTATGTGCTGCACAATAATGTTTAATATTTAGTATTTACAGTTATATTCCCATATATCATCGTGATGTTGTTTATTCTATTGCTCTCGTTTTCTTCTGCTTGTTTTCTTTTTTCATTCTCAACAGGTGAAATTACAAAAGTATTTACTGTTATCTATTGTTAGCTAGTTTATTGTGATGGTGTTGTTTTTATTATGTTGCTCTTTGTTGTTTGTTTTCCCTTCTGGTTTTTTATCTCCGTACAGGTGATCCAGGTGTTTTGTTTTTCTTTCTTTTTTCTTCCCCCCTTTTTCACCATCTCTTCTCCCCTCTATTTTTCTTTCTCTCCCTCTCTTTCTTTCATTCTTTCTCACTGTCCTATCCCCCAGTCATGTCTGTCCCGTCTTTAAAAAACGAAAATAAAATAAATACATAATTATAATAAAGGTCAATCAAATGGACCAATAAGGCAAGGCCATGATGATCCACTTGGTAAAGTAAATCCACTTGGCATCTTTCTTGGCCTTCAGACAACAATTCTGATGGCTAAAGATCCAAACGGGACAGGCAAAAAAAAAGAAAAGAACTGTGCTTTTAATCTGACTCTGAGCCAAATGTATCTCACTCTCCACACCTGTGAATACAAACTCTAACCATTCCAATAAAAGGCGTCTTATATTCCCCGTAATGAATCCTTCAAACCTTCTACCTGCTCCGGTATATGATTTTAATCTATTGTTTTTTGTTGTCATTTTGCTTTTTTAAAGTGCTGGAGCATTTTTAGAGCTATGTGATCTTCTTGAGGAAGATTACCCAGTGAAATTCTGAGAATTATAATTGATGCAATCACTGTTTTGTTGAGGGCTTTGGATAAAGGCATCAATATACCTGAACAATGTTTGTATATACATCCACCCATCCATCCATCCATCCATCCATCCATCCATCCATCCATCCATCTTCTACCACTAATCCAGGTTACAGTGTCAGCAGAGACCTTACTGCCCTCTCCCTGACCACCTCATCCAGCTCGGGACACTTGGGCCAAGCAATATCACCTCTCCAGCAGGTCCTGGATCTGACTTGGGGCCTTTTCCCTGTAGGACATGATTGGAATACCTCACAAAGAAGGCATCCAGGAGGCTTGCTAGTCATATATCCAAACTTTCTCAGCTGGCTCCTTTTAATGTAGGGGAGTAGCAGCTTTACTCTGAGACCCTTGTGGCTAGCAGAACTTCTCATCCTTTCTCTAAGGGAGAGCCTTAGAGATAGCCCAGGCACCCGTTGGAGGAAACTCATGTCTGCTGCATGTATCCATGGTCTCATTCTTTTGGTCACTAAACAAAGCTCATGATGGATGTACTTCGACTGCTTTGCTTTCACATCCACGATTACCATTACAGACCAATACAGTGTCTGCATCCTGCATCACTGCAGAAGCAGAACCAGCCCATCTGTTAATCTCTACTGGACCCTTTTCCAGATGAGACACTTTTCAGTTTCAGTTTCACAGTTTCCAAAAAAAAAAAATTCCATTGCTATTGTTTGACCATTTTCTTTTTTTTTATATTATATCAGGATAATCCCCATTACCACAACACAACCCATTACCACCCTACAACCTTTCCCATGCATTCCTACTAGTTAAAGCCACACTTGTTGACTTCTTCATTAGGTATGCCTGTGCAATCTAGTTCAAGCAGGATAAATTATAATTGTACTTTATATTTATTATTAAATCCACACTGAGGGCACTTGGTTGAGCTGGTGAGGCATATACTATAAGGCTGCAAGGGCCTGAGTTCACTTCCTAATAGTCTAATCCTGGGTTGACACAATTGTAACAGGAGCCGAATTTGTGTTTGTAGCATCCAGCTATTGAAGCAGAGGAAATACCAGGACAAAGGGGGTCTTGCATATGAATCCAGGATCCATATATGAGACTCCAAATCTCAGAGTTCTCAGTGACCTCGACCTCAAGGTGGTCAGGTTTTCTTGTAAATGAGGTAACTCATTAAGCAAGTCCTGTAGGAGTTAACTTAAAAGGCTAAGGGGTAGCACTGGAGGCCACCAGTATTTTTGACAGTTTTTCTCAAGCCAGGATTTTACAGATATCTACAGACATGTAGGTGAAACTGCTGTTTGTGTGAATTTCCTGTGCTATCACAGCTCTTTGAGACTCACTTCCAAACTGGCAACACCTCATTCTCATTTTGACGTCTCCTTCGAAAATAAGCCTTATCTCTATGGCACTCTTTCTGTATTCATCACGGAGCTTGTCAGTGCCGGGCATAAATTGTTTACTGTGTGTCACAGACTTAAGGCTGCTTCAGAACAACAGTCGCCAGTCTAATGGGAATAGGAGCAAATTGCTGTTTCGGGATAGCGGCGTTTCTTTTATCTGGAATGCTCAGTTGAAGTGTAACCTCTTGGGAACTGCCTTTTATGGGAAGTGTTGTCACTGTGCTGGTTTGGAGCTAGGAGGCAGTGATTGTCCTGCAGCTGCAGATAAACGTCGGCATGCTGAGCATTTATGCACTAGAGGAAAATAGATGTGGCGAAAAAGCTTGTGACTTGAATGCTTGATTTGGGTTTTCGTCTCTATCGCCAACAGATGTGGACAGGTTTTCCAGAGACTTAACATTTTGAATTTAAATTTTCCTGTCTCCCCCTGTCCCCTCCTTCCACTCTGCAGGTTAATGTTTCCTTACCAGGCGCCCCCAGGGTCGCTTTCAAGCCTGACTGCTGACAGCTGACACCTCTGTCATCCTCCTGAGCGATCTAATCGATCACCTCTAGCTCGACAAGACAGCACACCAGGTTCTGCTTCGTTCTGCTGGCGGTTGAGTAGAGCAGGCTCTGTGTTGCCCTGAGCCCAGCTATCTCAGCAGGACTGCATCACCATGGATACAGAGTCCACCTACTCGGGATATTCCTACTACTCGGGGCGCTCCCGGGGATCCCACAGACATGGGTAAGTCCTGCCAGTTGGTTATTACGGTTTTTCCTGACTCTGCTTTTACGTGAAGTGTTGATGTGGGCTGCAGGATTTCCCTCAGTAAAACATGCCCGAGCTGGTGCCTATTATGTGAAGTTGAAGTGATAGTGGATGTGATACGATTACTACTGGTTGGTTAGTAGATATAGATGTAGTAGATGTTAACAGCAAAATCAGTTTTTAGGAGATGGATAGAAGAAGCAAGGATTTTTACAGATGTCTTGGAGAGGACGGTATTACTACTTTGTCCCTGTTGGAGCCTCTGGGGGCTCAGTAAATCAGCGGATCTGTTGTACTTTCCTTTTGTGATTTTCTTTCTGACTCTCAGCATTTGTTTTCCTGTTCTGTTCTGTGTCTTTGTCCACCTCCGTAGTGTCACCTTTTGTGTATCTGTGTCTGTCCCTCTGGCCAAACATGTGTGGAGCCCACAGCTCCTGGAGGCGCATTAGTCTGTCAGCAGCCAAATGACTGTGGTTGACAGGCCTCAGGAAGGCAGCAGGAGACAGGTGCTGAAGAGGCCTGACTGACTGGCTCAGCGGATACATTGAGACTCAGAGAGGAGATGAGAGTAGAGAACTGGAGAACAGGATCCTGTTCCATAACAGCCCCTCCCAGGTCAATGACAGTCCCCTCCAGCTTGTTTGCCATATATCTTTTGGAGTACTTGTGCCTGCCTTTCCCACTCTAGCTGCCACCTGTTGCTGTTTAAGGGATTTGTCATGCTGTCTGCAACTTTCTGCCTCTGTCCTCTTCACACTGCACCTCCCTCAGCCCTGCCCTCCTTATCTCTTTCCTTTCATTCTCCTCATCATTAAACATTTTACTCCCATGTGGCCAATCGTGATATGAAGGCAGCAGCTGCCCCCGCTCTCTGTGATCACCCTTCTTCCCTTTTCTCCTCCCATTTTTTAAATGTAGTCAACGCTGCTCTTTGAGGATGAGAAAGCGCAGGGATATCACTCGCTCCCTGGTCGTCTGCATTCCCCAGGGCACCAATGTGTCCTTGTAGCTCAAAGTTAAACTGAGCAAAAGTGCTCTCACTTAGCATGGAATCAAAGACAGTGGGGAGAGGTCAGTGCTTAGGAAAGTGGTGGAGACCTGTGTTCTCCTATTTCTTTTGCTGCACTCTTTCAAGTGAGTGACAGCAAATTGGAAAGAGACATATGGGCATCCCTGCCAGGCGCCATTCCGCTTCCTGCTCCTCCGGTCCTACCGTGACTGTGCCAAAGCCACCGGCTGGCCTCTAATTTAATGTAGAAAAAACTAAATTGTTGCCTTTGAAACCCCTTGCTGTTCTCGCGGGAAGGTAATCTTTTTACACCAAGGGGTGCCATGCGTGAAGCTGCTTCGGATCGCTGTCGTCTAATTACCCTGATGCCAGGAACAGATGCAAGCATGTGGGAGTGGGCTCACTACTTGTGTTCATACAACCATAGAAATAACAGATAAGAACAATATCCTTATATATGGGTACATGTGTGTAATTTGCTAGGACATGATAGAAGAATGGGATTTGCTTAGAGTCTGAGTAACAGAAGTTGCAGGATTTTTGGAGTTTTTCCCCCCCCTCATTGGTAAATGGTAAATGGCCTGTATTTGTATAGCTAGTCCCGCCTAGGGACCCCAAAGCAAGCTACAGTTGTAGCCACAGCTGCCCTGGGACAGACTGACAGAAGCGAGGCTGCCATATCGCGCCATCGGCCCTTCTGGCCAACACCAGTAGGCGGCAGGTGAAGTGTCTTGCCCAAGGACACAACGACCAAGACTGTCTGAGCCGGGGCTCGAACCGGCAACCTTCCGATTACAAGGCTAACTCCCAACTCTTGAGCCACGATCGCTCTCATTGCTGGCTTTTTACCCCTTCCTGTTGCAAGACATCTTCTATTGGTGTTGTCAACAATACATTCCCCTGTCCCTCCAATAATTGCAGCAGCAGGTCTGTCTGCAGATCTGCTGTTGCCATGTTTTTGGCACAAAAACATGCTGAAAACACCAATTTCTTACTTGGTTTTAGTAAATTAGTGTATTTCTGTATTTAGAGCATGACATTAGCAGTGAAACAACCAAATTATGCACATGCACAGGTTTAGTTATCCAAAGCTTTGCTTTGCTTCTCTCTCCCCAACCAGTTGCAGCAGATGGCCCCGCCCCTCCCTGAGGCTGGTTCTGCCCGTGATTTCTTCCTGTTAAAAGGGAGTTTTTCCTTCCCACTGTTGCCAAAGTGCTTGTTTGTTGGGGTTTGCTCTGTATTATTGTTGGGACTTTACCTTGCAATGTAACTTGTGATTTGGGGCTATATAAATAAAACTAAACTGAGATGAATTGAATGTGTTTGTAGATTGCAGTACTTGAATCACCATTTTTCCAACTGGTGCAATCCATAATAATTGCTACTCAAAATAGGCTGCTTCTAAGTAAATCCTAACAATTTGTGTTTTTACCTGCAAATATAATAATTGCAGCTGCCCTAAAGAGCTTCTGCTCTCATACTTTCAGAGCATGGAGTTTTGATGCAGAGCTAATTGAACTTTCTTCAGTTTTGCTCTCAGAACTTCTCCAGAGCTAGGCTCCTTCACTTATTCAATTTTAAGCATTTAAATGACTATAGACTTGCAAATCACATATTAGCAGCTGTTCATGTGTAAAATTGGTTCTTTTGATTGCTGTAACTCCAATTACAGAGCAGCACACAGTATTCACACAGGACAGAGTCACTTCAACTAATATTAAGTCATAGTTTTAATACCATTCAAAGGTTCCTCCATGATATTATTCTTAAAGCAGAGCAGTTTACTTTTTGTTTCAACTGGAAGGTTAAGATTGGATCAGAGAAACACAAAGACTTATCTCACTTAGTGCCCATTCAGCTCAGGTTTAGACAGCACAGCAGAGGCTTCTTGTGACTCATTACCTTGTCGATTAAACAGGAGGCCAACAATCTTCAGAATCATCTAATGGTAAGCTTATGGTTAAGTAATATAGCTACCAAGAAGCTTAATGAATTCAGGCGTGTCTAGGCAACAATATGTTGATCTGAGCACCATGTACTGTCTTTTTTTATAGCTGAGAACTAAAAAAAAAAAAAGAGAGATTTCAGCAGACAGACTTTTGCTCTGTTTTTACACTGTGTTAAAACTCACAGATAATAAATAGGTGTAGATTCAGATGCTGAATACCTTATATTTCCCCCCCTCTCATAAGGAATTAACAAGGGATTGCTAAAGAATCAGACCTGCAATTAGGATTGAGAAAGGCATCAATGTTCATCCTTTCTCACTGTTTTGTTTGGGTTGTTTGTAGGGGTGGGGGAAAAAATCGATACTGTGTAGTATCGTGATATTTTGTTTGCTAATAATGTATCGATACAGGGACAGCAGAAATCGATATTTTGTTACAAAAAAGGTTTTTGTGCTCTGACTTCAGAGCAGGTTGATCCTTTTTCTGAGCAAGAGTCCTGACATTCCTTCACTGTCCAAATGTGTTTAACTTTTTTTTGGCAGCAATAAACATGACAGTTTACTTATTTTACTTTAAGACATGTTTTATTTTAATTAAGTTTAAAACTTTTTTAATTAATGTAAAATTATATTGTTTTAATTTACTTTCAAATTCTTCAGTTGCTGAATGAGCTGCATAGTTTTCATAAATTGCATAGTTTAGAATAGCTATAATTGTACCAGATGGTTGCATTCAGTTAAGTTGGACTAGACTGTAATACAAACCGTTCAGTTTGTCAACAATAAAACTGACTGAAATGAGAGAATGACTGAGTGCAAGACTTTGATATTAGATAAAATGAATATTGATAAAGTTTACCTTTATGTACAGAATCTGAATATCGCAAAATATTTTAAAAAATTGCAATAATATCGTATCGTGCGTTAAGTATTGTGATAATATCGTATCGTGGGATGTATGGTGATTCCCACCTCTAGTTGTTTGACTCCCAATAAACTGACCTCAAAGTCTGGGCTTTATTTCCCAACTAAGACATGTTCAAAGGGAATTTGAGACTATGGATATGCCCGTAAACGTTTTTCCGAGGCTTTCTTGACCTTTTAAGCTGCTGTGAAAACATCAGATCAAGTATTTATATGGTATCAGTTCACAACAACTGCCTCAAGGTGATTCATGTAAGATAAAGACTGTACAGTATTAGAGAGAGAGAGAGAATCAATCAGATGATTCCTATAAACAAGCGCTCGGTGATTGTGGAATGGAAAAACTTCCTGAAAGATTTCAGGAAGGAGGTAGGGGCAGCTACAAACCATGACCAGTTGCTTTCACAATTAGCTGGAAAACCTTGTTTCCCATGGGGATTTTGGTCATCATTAGTTCTTTGGAAATGAAGTTTCTGGGACTTGTGTGTCAGTTTGAATGAAAATCCAAGTTCACGTAAGAAAGAGTGGTGATTGTTTGCTCACACCACTGCTAGCTCAGTGTGTGATGTGCTGGTTTGGACTTGTGTCACCATTGTCGCTGTTGGTGGTGGCTGATCTGCACACTAGTGCTTTGGCTCAGATTGCTGTGTTGACACAAAGCTCTGTGCCGCACAGGTGTGTGGGTTACTCTGCCAGCCAAAGAGAGGACAAATTGGTCCACAGACAGTTTGGCATGCCACCCTAGTTGGCTGTACTTTTTCACTAGCCTCTGTGTGAGGTGGAGAACACACTCGTCCTCAGGTGTTGGAGGGAAATACTGCTTCCAGAGACAAACTGGCAGGACTCTGCCTCATCCATTGTCAGTTTTCCAAAAAGCCACACCCATTTCAGGGATACACGCTGCAAGTCAAATCCCATTAATCAAATCATAGCAGCACAATTTTGGAATATCAGTGAGCCAGCTGCATGCTAATGAGGCAGGAAGAGGATGTGGTAAGAGAGACAAAGGGGGAGGAGGTATCCATACAGTGCAGTAATCCCAGGATGTTGCTGAAGGGGGAATGAGAAAATGTGCTGGAAGAGGGGAGAGGCTGGTACACAGATTGGTAGGCCAGTCTGCTAAACCACTTGCTGGGCTGTCCGCAGGCTTGCTCGCCTCTGTGTTACTTTGCAAATTGCATATTTTATTGCATTCTTAATTGCTTTTTGTTCAGTTTCTGGGGTTTAACTGACATTATCTTTTATCTAATTATTTATGCATCGTCTGTCTTTTCCAAGCAGTTGAGGGTCAGGGTTTGTTTTGCTTTTTTTTTTTTTAAACTGAAGATGATTCCCCCCCCCCCCCCCCATTTCTAGAATCTGAATAAACAGATCTGACCAATCAGATCACTGCATTTGGCGACAAATTTAGTTTCAGTTTGTCACAACTCGAAAGTTCAATTTTTCTGGTTGCTAGAAAACATATGTAATCCCAACCGGCTGGCGAGTGGTTTCTGGAGGTTGCTGGCTGTCATTAGGTGAAAATCAGTTGCACCAAAAAGCTCCTTGCTTTAGAAACCACAGTTTCCTGTAATTTGCATGGAAGACACCAACTTATTTGCAAACTATCACCATTTATTCTCCAAACTGCAGTGAAGCTCAAAGGAAACTGTAAAGAGACAGATGTAAACTGAAAACTGAGAATTCCAAGTCAGTCTGATTTACCATAGAGTAACACACATTTGAAATAAAGCATTCATGAATTAATAATTGCTTATGTCATAAATTTATTTATTTATTAGTCAAATCAGTTACAAATGAATGTTTAATCTATTTTACTTAGATATTAAAAAAACAATTAATTATTTGACAATTTAATATATAATAAGAGCAATTTTAAATACATGAATATATGTGTGTATAAATGTGTTGTGGGATTTTACAAACTGCATTCATAAAGATGGCTGTCATGTAAAAAATAAAACTGCGCATGTAGTCTCACATATAGTCTAGCTTCAGACAACAATAATACAGGGAATGATGGACTGATCGGTATCATTGTAATCACTCTTTTTCAATTATTTTAAATCGTAGGTATCAGAAGGTTATGTGGTAACAGGTGGACTCCTGAGACTGTTTACAGACAGTGTTTCCATAATTAATTATTATTAAAGGCTGTAGGTTATAGCTATTGTTTTAACTGTGCTAGCTGATTCAGGCTTCATTTAAAAGGAGCGGATTAGCTTACTAAAAATGGCAGCCCACTAGTACTGATGGGATGTAATCTTTTCCCAAGCTAGCATGAGTCTTAAAGAGTATGGCTACATGCAGCGATGCTAGTCTTAGCCACATCTGCGTGTTACCTTCAGCAGATGGTCAGGTGATTCCACAAAGTGCACACTTCAAGATTGGGGCTCTCTTCAGTTAATGTCAAGGCAGAGCTATTGACACAAGCAGCAACCTAGAAAAACCCGGTCAGCCATCTTCATCATCATCTCTCTAACCAAACAGAGAGCTCCTTACATCACATTGCATTATTAATTTGCATTACTTTTTCTCCAAGGCCAAGAAGGCTAATTGGAGACATGGAGACATAGGAAAAGGACATGGAGTTGATAAGGAGGAGTGGAATCTTGATTTTAAATATCAAGAAAATATATTGTTAATTTGATTTTTTTTTTGTTCTGTTTACTTATTTCTTTTTTTGAAAATGTGCTTATCAAATCTGAATTAAAAATGTGCTTTCAATAAGACTAAATGGTTGGGGAATTTTCCCCATTAACAGAAGTTGCCAGATGGTTGGTGACTGGCAGACATGTGTGACTGGGGACATATTTGGAGGGGGGGGTCTGTTTTAGGAGTGGATGTGAAGGTTTTCTGAATAAGTAAAATAAAGTGATTATTATAATTATGTAAATGATTCTTTTCTTTTTCAGTAGAAGAAATGTTTGATTACTTCTCTAGGTGGTAAGCCCGTTTACGTGACTAGTTAGCATAGTTTTTTTGTTTTATTTTGCTCTTAATGTGACTTTCTGCTCCTTTCCACTCTTCTTTTGTAGCTGCTACCTTCTCCTTACTTGTCTCCCAGACCTCCTTATTATTCTGACTGTGATCTTGAAATAGGATCTCTGCTTTGTGAGCCCGGCTGCTCCTCCCTGCTTCCTCCTCTACAGCTTTTCTCTCCAATTAATAAGCATAATCAGCGCTGACGTTTGACTGATGAGCGCTCCCTCTGGAATAACCATCACCACAGCAATGACACTAGTTGTAATAATATTTAAAGTAATAATGATTGTGGTAATATATTTAAAGGCCTACATTCACCTCCTAATCTCCTGGATTTATTAGATAAGAACATGTCAGTCACTTTGTGAACTGGATTGCTGCAGGCTATTGAAAATGAGCTTTCTCTCACTCAGTGCAGGTTTGAAATGTTCGTCGCTCTCGTGATTTTCTGCAGGAAAGCGAGTCCATATTTAAAAAGGAAGGGCAAGAATAGAGGCGGAAGGCAGACTGGGCTACACCCTTTAATGAAAACACTTGGATCTAATGCAGCTCTTGCTGGACCATAACAGCTCCACTGCTGTCAGTCATACGGCTTCCTCCATTACCAAAGGCAGGATATCCTGTACTTTATGAATATGAATGGTTATTGTGTGACAGTAGTGTTCAAGGGTCACTTGAGTTTTTCTTGCATAGGTCACTGTAAGGTTGATGGTGATGGTTAATGTGTAACAGCAAAGATTGAAGCTGATCGCATCAATATTTCATATTAATATCAGAACAAATAAATATGTAGAATCCAAAGTGTGCAGTTCCTGTTGATTCTGCAGGCCAATTGAGGATCTTTTAGGTCATTGTTTTGGTTTTATAGTATATACACTTGCTAAATTAATGCTAATGTTTCTCCGCATTTGATGTAAATAAACAGAGGTCAGAAGGATCAGTTCATGTGGGTGTCAAAAGGACTGCTTGTGTTCTTGTGTGTCTTAATAGAAAGCAGGACACAAAAGCCTTCTCCATTGTGGAAATTAGATTTGTTACACTTCTGTTCCAGTGCTGCTCCTGCATAAGAAGTGATTACGATGAAACAACAAGCTTAGAGACTGCAGGAAACTCATTAACATTTAGCATGACAAAGAATACAGCATCAAGAACAATCCTTCTGTCTTTAAAAGAAGGGGAAGACAAGAAAAATCATGTAATTTCTTCTTTATTTGCCTGCATATTCAGTCAGTAATCTTGCTGAATCTTCATACCTAGGTTAGATCCGACAGCCTTGCCTCGGCTCTGGTCTTGTCAGTCTCATTCATTGTCCAGCAAAGGTTCTCAAGCATATGACTGTTCACATAAAAGCTGAACAAAGCAGTTTATTTGTACTGTATTTACTGTATTTTAATCTGGAAGTGTTACTAAAATTAGAGCATAACGTGTGTTTGCCTAGGAGAAAGGAGACGGATAAGGGATTAAAGGGGCGACAGAGTGGGCTCGGCGCCATGTGGTGGTGGTGGTGATGCTGGGTGGAGGATGGAGAGACCTGCCGCTCTCGCTCTATACCAGATTACTGTAGCGCTTACATTGCAGCTGACATGGTTGGAAGACCTCATGGACAGTGATTCAGATATTTAGGCTTTATGCTCACTCTGCACGCACTTGAATTCTAGAAAACCAGAATGTCTTCAAATTCCTTGTTGTGTAATTCAATTCTGTTTAATTTCTATAGCACCAAATCACAACAACAGCCGCCTCAAGGCGATTCATATTGGAATGCAAAGACCATACAATGCGCTCACTGATCGTGATTTTTGCTTTTTACTTTCTCTTTCAGAGAGCGAAGCCGGGACCGGCACAAGTCGCGCAGCAAAGACAGCCGCTCGGAGAAGTCTGTAACGATTAACACGCCGCCTGCAGAGCCGCTGCTAGGCGACACAGCTGTACGGGGGGAGCAAGTCCAGGTACGACCTGCTGCAAACACAAGGCACTGCACAGTCACTACCGTGCTTCTTCACAAACCTCTCACACTTTTGATTCACAGCTTAGTTTCCACACGTTCAGCACATTTACCATAGATGACCTCTCAACAGTGTTGCTATAAGTTTGACGGAGGGCTCTGCTGCTGTGATTTATATGTAGAATTTGGAGCACAGGAGACTTATCACTCGCACTCAGAATGAGCTGGAATGATAATTGTGTTTATCAGCCTGGGCTGGCACAGGCCATCTGGTATTTCAGGGCAAAAGCCAGGAGGGCCAGTCCATTTATGTCGAGATCTGGGCCGTCACTTTCCGGAAGCCTGTTTCTGAAAATATCTGCAACAGGGTATGGACGCAGCAGGCTTCCTCTCTCGATGGCCAAGCTCTGATAAATCCACTTCATTAAAGGCAAATGGCAGGCGCTGGCTCAGTTCATGAAATCCACCAGCACTGGGTTGGTAGACGCTTTCAGTGGCCCCCTCTGAAATGGTCTAGGCCAAGCCCATGCAGCAGCTAAGCTGGAAGCTAAGCTTTTGACTGTTAAAATTCAAAAGTGTTGCCTCAGAAATCATGCTGACTGGGAGTTCCATGATTGCGAGCTCAAAATATGGATTATGTGATGGATTATTTGATACAAGATAAGTATAAGGTAGGCAACATCATAGGTTACACCAGCTTAAATGTTTGCTAAACATCTGGTACTATACACTGAACCATCTGGCCTTTGGTTTGTTTGTGTCTAACAGAAAGTCTACTGACTCATGTTTAATTTCACGCACCAGGCAGACATTTGACTATGTTGCTTGGATTCAGATAAAAGGTCGGTAGATCAGATAGCTCTGTGTAAACTGGGCTGGTTGGCTGCAAGCTGTCATGTCGAGACATGAAATTCCAGGTAGCACTTGAGCAGTACACGACTTCTTAGTCACAGTGGAAGACACTGAGTAACAGCCGGTTTGTTTTCTTGTTTTGTGTGGTCTTTGTGATCCAGAACATAATTCATTGAGTAGAAATAGTTGTAGTTAAGTACTTTATTGCACAGAAATATTGTTTTTGGAATGGCTGATAGACAAAAATATTATTACATCATCTGCGATGTAATAAAGTCATTATTGCTTTAATAATTGCATAATAATTACAAAAACCTTTAAAATCGTGCAGTGGGGCACATTTAAACTCAGGTTCATTACTTTTATCAGCGTTCTTCTGAACGTGCTGTGTTATAAATGGTGGAAACGAGTTTGTTTGGATGTATTTACAGAGTTTCGGTTGTATTAGTAGTAGTGATACATCCCTCTACTAAACAGCATACATCACTTCTCAGTTTAATCCCTGTCCTTGCTTTTAGTTTTTATTCACTGCATGGCAACATAATGCAGTATGAATAACTTCAGTCATTTACTCACAGCTGCTTCATAACGTGCATAAACACTGCTGTAATCATGTTGTCAGAGGGAGCAGCGGCCTCTCCTGATTTCTTCTGATTGCTACAAACAGCTTCGCTTCTGTTCTGCGGTTGCTTGTTAGCATCTTAAAAGCAAATTATTCAACAAAGCTTTTAAAGAAGGAAATACTTCTACTCCTGTTTTGTGTTTTGCCCCAGCCATAGTAAACATGATGCAAATATCACATTCCAGAGTTGCAAAGTGCAAGTAAGAGCAGATGGTTATTTTCCCATAGCCAGTGATGGTGACTCATTGTTATGCTTTTTCGTGGCTTGGTCGGACATGAAATTATGTCAGTTGCACAGGATAGAGAGACACAGGTCTAACGTGTTAGTAAGTGAATAATGTTGATGTGCTTTTTACAAACCAAATAAGCTGTAGACTTGTTAACAAAGGTCAAATCAGATTGAATTTTAATTGACTATGATTTCTTTTCATCGCAGTTTAAGCCCTTTTAAAATTTGAAGGTTTAAATGTAGCATCTGTGCATCTTGATGAAAAAACTGGTGACCCCTTGTGCTACAGTCACACTAGGAAAAAGTAGTTGGAGACTGTGGTACTACTGGGCGATTGTGGCTCAAGAGTTAGGCGTTCGCCTTGTAATCGGAAGGTTGCCGGTTCGAGCCCCGGCTTGGACAGTCTCGGTCGTTGTGTCCTTGGGCAAGACACTTCACCCG